CCCCCTCCTTCCTCTCTTTCTCTCTTTCTCTCTCCCACACCTGTAGGCTCCTGTTACACCTGCAATTTCCTGTCTCTCCTCCATCTTTGTTTCTGTCATAACCACATCCTTCCTATATTCATTCTCAAACTTTTCTCTCTTCAAATAATAAAAATCAACCTTTCGCTTTTTTATCTACAAGATATATCTACTAATCTTATAGTCCCCCTTCGATTGCTAATTAGTAAAGAAAACGGTTAAAGAAATTAATCATACAACTATTGTAGGTATTTCCTGGCATTCTCTGTCATATGGGTATGGCTTCGTCGTTGTAATGAATTTGACAAAAAATGAAAAATAAATGAAACCCGTTATATATATATATATATATATATATATATATATATATATATATATATATGTATATATATATTTTTTTTTTTCAAATTAGCTTTAGGTTTTAAGTATAAGACATTTCATCATTATCGTTATCAACATGATTATTGCAATTGTTATCATTATTATTGCATTGTTGTTATGCTTAGTATAATTGGCATAATCATTATCAATATTACAGGTATCATTATTAACATCACCATCATTATCATCATCATTATTATTGTCATTATCATTACTGCTACTATTAGTAATTATCATCATTATCATTGCTGTTGTTATTATCCTTGTTCTTGTTTCTGTTGTTCTTGTTATCATTATTACTCTTATTATTGTTGGTATCACCATTCTTTATAATCATTAATCTCATTATTATTTTTACCATTATTGTTGCTGTTATCATCATCGTTTTCATTACAATTAACTTTATTATTATCAGTATTACTATCATCATCCTTACCATTATTATCATTATCATCATCAGTGTTATCATCATCACAATTATTCTTATTCTCATTCGTATAATCACCGTCGTTAATAGTATTAACATCAACATGAATATAATATTTATTTTTCTTTTACGTCCGACTGTCATTTTCATTTTAACCTTATCATCTCCGCTGCAACTATTTAATTAAACTTTAACTTTACAGTCATCATAAAGAAATAAAGCTTCAGTAATACAAAATCTCGTGTACACTTTAAAAATAAACATATTGCTTCCTTCATGAAATTACCAAAATTAATTGTTCGTGATGTACAGTGAGTCATCTATCCTCCATTAAACAAAGTGTAAAAGAGAGAGAGAGAGAGAGAGAGAGAGAGAGAGAGAGAGAGAGAGAGAGAGAGAGAGAGAGAGAGAGAGAGAGAGTGAGAGAAAGAGAGAGAGAAAGAGAGAGAGAGAGAGAGAGAGAGAGAGAGAGAGAGAGAGAGAGAGAGAGAGAGAGAGAGAGAGAGAGAGAGAGAGAGAGAGAGAGAGAGAGAGAGAAAGGGGGGAAGAAGAGGGGGAGAGGGGGAGAGAGAGAAAGGAGGGTAGAAGAGGGGGAGAGGGGGGGGGAGAGGAAAAGGGAGATGGAGAGGGAGAGGGAAAGGGAAAGGGAGAGGGAAAGGGAGAGAGAGGGAGGGAGGGAGGGAAAGAGGGAAAGAGAGAGAGAGAGAGAGAGAGAGAGAGAGAGAGAGAGAGAGAGAGAGAGAGAGAGAGAGAGAGAGAGAGAGAGAGAGAGAGAGAGAGAGAGAGGGGGGGGGGGAAGAAGAGGAGAGGGGGAGGGAGAGGGAGAGGGAGGGAAAGAGAGAGAGAGAGAGAGAGAGAGAGAGAGAGAGAGAGAGAGAGAGAGAGAGAGAGAGAGAGAGAGAGAGAGAGAGAGAGAGAGAGAGAGAGAGAAAGGGGGAAGAAGAGGAGAGGGAGAGGGGGAGGGAGAGGGAGGGAAAGAGAGAGAGAGAGAGAGAGAGAGAGAGAGAGAGAGAGAGAGAGAGAGAGAGAGAGAGAGAGAGAGAGAGAGAGAGAGAGAGAGAGAGAGAGAGAGAGAGAGGGAATCGGAGAAAAACAAGGCAAATCCACACTTTTCTTCGCCATGCACCTGTCTGCCTTGGCCACTCGCTCACTCCCTTCCGCTTTTAACACATGTACCTTTTATTATAATTATTATCCTCATCATGTAGTTTATGTACTGTGCATGTTATATCTATCTTGTGGTATCTTTTGCTGTCTTGTATGGTATCAGGAAGGAAGGAATTACAAGAGAGAACAGCGATATGTTGGGAAATAAAGGCGTAAAATTGAAGATTGTAAATACCTTGGAAAATCGAGAATATCAATGGCTCATCCATACACACACACACGTTCCAGTGGGTAAGGAATCTTCACTACCCCTTCGTTCAGCGCTTAAGAAATCACAAAACCCGTGTTCATGCTCAGAGTCCAGCTACCGACGGGTTAGTCCGCGAAGGTCCACGGGAGAAGAAAGTGACACAACCTCACTCTGCCACGGGTTGAGGGAGACTGATGCCCTGGGTGCGTGTGGGGCTCATGTTGGTGGGTACCTGACCGTGTTCTGACTCCCCCCCCTCCCTCCCTCCCTCCCTCTTCTCTTCTCCCGACGACTCCCCTCCTCCCTCCCTCTCCTAT